GATAAATTATCACTGTTACATATTTTATAATCAAGCTCTTCCAATTGTTTAGAAATTTCAGATTCCCGCTTAAAAGCATCTCTAGCTTTTCTTTTCGCCACAGACATGGTGTGGTCGCGGATTTCCATTTTAATTAATTCCCATGCTAATCTTTTGTCCTTCAAAGACTTGTATTTCTCACGTATTTGAGGAATTAATTCACAGATTTCAGCTGTGTAATTTTTGTCCTTCAATAGGGTGTTATTGAACTTCCAGAATCCTGGTCCCCTTGGCGAGTTGTTTGGCCATGATAACCAAAGATGAACTATTTTGTGACCTGGAGCTATTGAGGCCTTAATTCCGGTGTTTTTGACGTGTTTTGAAAGATTCTTTGTGATTAAAATAAAATCCAATCTAGACTTAACATTTAAGGCTTTGGACAAGTAGGAATAAGTGTTCAAATTTGGGTAGCGAGCTCTTTGTATATCTATTAAATCAAAAATTTCCATTGTCATCAAAAGTAAATGCCTGAATTGTGTTGGTTTCCACGGTGTTCCACCTTTTTATCTTTTTTTTGTTAATATGCAGTTCCAATCACCTCCAACAATGAGGTTGGTTCATTCAAATTTATCAATGATGCAATTATTCAGTTCTTGGATAAATTCTAATTGCTCCGATGGATTATTTGGTGCATAGATATTGCAGAATGAAACTTTCTGCTCATTTATATTGACTGTAATGAGAACAATTCTTCCTGAATTGTCACTAAAAGAGTATTGTACATTATAGCTTATTGAAGGGTCTATTAATGTGCAAGTGCCTTTGCTGTGTCGAGACCCATGGGAGAAATACATTTTGCCTCCCCATTCGTTTTGCCAAATTGTTTCGTCTTTTAGTTCAGAGTAAGTTTCCTGAAGAAAGTAAATGCTTGCCTTTTGATCTTTTAAATATGAAAAGATGCTCCTTCTCTTTGCTTGATCGCGTATTCCCCATACATTGAGTGAGATGACTTTGCACATTAAGTTATTTTGCATTGGAATGTAATTGTGTAGTTTGGAAAAATAGACACACACAAAAAAATAAAAATAACCACAAATGCTAGTTCCACTAAATAAACTAAAGAAAAATTAAAGAGATTAAGCTTCTCGCTATGCTTTCTTCGACCACCTTGAGACTTCCCTCATTTATTACATAGTTCCAGTACTGGTGGCAACCTACCAGCAATCTATATTAACCTAAAGATTATTTAAATCATCCTCTGTATTAATTCGGATTGGCCTACCCTCAGGTGAAGTCTTGACAAAGATTTTTCTGTCTACAGTCCTCACTCCTTTAAGTAATCCATCTTCCTTCCTTCCGTTGGCAATCCGCACCAGGTTTCGCCGGTGTGTTGTCAAATTCTCGTTAATAAATATGCGGTTTGAAGAGGCCCTTGCTGCTGCAGATGCGCTCGGGAAGAGTTGCGAGAAACTGACATTCCTTAGTTGAACTTGTTGCTTGTACAGTGCCCTCTTAACTTTGTGGCTAATAAATCTTGCTATGATAGGCTTTGTCTTTTTTCTTTTGATCCTATGACAGATGTTGATATCTTCTTGCTTAACGTTGATGTTCAGGGCTTCTGTGACTTTCAAATCAGCATCTTCGTCGTTGCAAACATTTTCAGGAATGCCCTCAATCTCGAGGGAATTTTTTCTTGTATACTGTTCGAGCGTGTCCATATTTTCGTAGAGCTCGTCGATTTCTTCTTCCTGCTCTTTCACCCGTTGTTTAGTCGCTTTCAATTCCAATTTGAGTTTGTCGTTGTACTTAAGTGCTGCGTTTAGTGATTCTTTGGCAGTTCTTAGCTCAGATTCATGTTGCTTGAACGAGGTTTTTAGCTCCGCAACTTCATTAGAAAGTCTGTCCATTGATTTTAGAAGATCTTTGAGTATTGCATGGATATCTGAGAGGTTGGGCTGGTTATCTTCCCGCTCCACTGCATCTGCAGGCTGAAAGTCTGCAGACGCAATGTTGACACATTTAGGATCTGCAATTTCGTCGTCGGTGGACCCTCTTTCCCCTCGCTTGTTTTTATCACCTGTCCTTTTAAAGGGCATATCTTTTACACCACCTTCATGCTGTTGCTGGGCTTTTTCGACTGATTCTGAAGAGTTTTGAGGGAAGACGCCTTTCTTCACGAGAAAATGTGGCTGTCGTTGGCCAGCCCGCGCATGCTCTCCACACACAAAAAAATATGTTGCTGCTTCTGTTTTTAAGTTTTGCTCTTCTATTTTAACAAAACAAAATACATTGTACAAAACATGAAATGCAAGCTGCAAATGAAAACAAATAAAAATGAAAGAGACATTGTAGGGGTTTGAATGTGGCCTCACTGAAAATATGTGCTTTCCTTTCAAGGGCTTGGGACATGAGTATAAACTAAATGTGATTTTGAGGCAGCATTACCGCATTATATAGGTTGCTTCTTTGGAGAAAATATATTCTGGTATATTGGGTGGAGTCACGACAATTTGTTTGATAATTTAAAATATAAAACCCTAGTATGCAAAAAGAATTGAAATGATGTTTTCTTTTTGCTGGCTAGTTACATGAATATTTTGACTTTAGTCATAAATATTCTTTCAGAAACTAAAAAAATTCATTCAGCACATGAAGTTTTCCAAAGTATCGGGCAAAAAAAGCCTGAGAATTTAGACACATTTATCTTTATTCAATTTAAATATAATGTCAGCAGCATCATCTCTCCAATTCCAAAAATATTTGTTATCAAAGTAGTTATTTTGCAACTGGAATCAGTAAGGTATCAACAGAGACAAAATCCATTGGCATACATGATGTGCATTTATTCAATACTAAACTTGCAATGCATTATAGCAGGACTTTCAAATATGCTGTTTATGAGCAGAGAGAGACTTTCTTGCCATGTTTTGGCCCATATTTCTCATGATAAAAGCAAAAGAGGACCAGAGTAGCTGTTGTTTTCCGTTTAATTTATTGTGTGAATGATTTTTTGACTGATTTCACGAGAAGATTGAAGTCATTGGACAGATTAGATGGGAATGTAAACTCCACATTTAGGCGCCCACTCGGGCTCATTGAACAAAACTTTAGTCACCCTCACTTGGAACTTAGGGGCCTCAGGCGCCCGGGTGCCCGTTACAAAGCAGCCTTGATATCATACTGTATTACAGTTGAACCTCCAGTTGCGACCACCTCTCATAAGCAACCACCTCTCTTCGGTGACCAGTTTTCCAAAATACGAAGCGTTTCCAAGTCAAGTCACTATATTTGGAACCTCTTGTAAGTGACCGCGACCACTTTTAGAGCTAGAAGTTTGAAATTTTCCTTTGTTTTTAACTTCCCGTAAGCGACCACTTAATTAGATAATAGACCGGAAATTGAAAAATAAGGTGTTGTAACATTCTCGAATTCCTGGGTAGTACAAGAAACGTAAATTACTCAATGGGAAGTACCAGACTTTTCTCGAAATTGACTTCACAAGAATAAAACATTTAAAACATGGGGTAACCTCTCTGCAGTTATCATATGCTAATGAGGCCAAAGTTTGACCCAATATGGTCTAAGCTCTTGTAAGTGACCACCTAGGCTTTGGGTGGTTGTTTACAGGAGGTTCAACTGTAATTATCTATGAATAAAAGCCATATCAGGCTCTTAACAAAGAAATAATCTCATTATACATGTATATATGTTTCTCTCACTTGGTGCAATAGTTTGCAGGAATGCTGATGCAAGGGTGTCCTGGGTTCAAGCCCACCGTACTATCACTATCTGGATATGCTGAGTTCAACTCATCAGCCACTCTTTGATTAATTGGCAGCAGCTTGTCAGCAAACATGAGCACACTGGAATTCTCAACATGTTATACAATATTAGGTTTATATGAAATTTTTGTTTGCCATATTTGAGTGGCATTCTTGCAAATTAACCTTGAGTTAAGCACATGACCCCTAGTTTGATATAGTCTGTTTGAATTGTGAGAACAAAAGTAAGATAAGCAAGGTTACTGTTAGGGGCAGAAAATGAGGTTATACACTACTATGTTTTTATTGTATACTAGATAACACTTCACCTGTGATTTAAGTGAAGTGTAACTGATCCTCTCCAGCTTCTGATATTCCCATTTCGGATTACATGAAGACTTGACAACTGGTGTAGATGCCAGGGGTAAGGAGGCAAGTGTTTGATAAGAAACATACACATTGGGCAGTAATCTGCAAAAATAAAAAATACACAAATTGAAATTCTTGCCACACTTAAAATACCATTTAATGCAAAATCTTTTCTTTGGACATACACACACCACTTTCACTTTTAACCTTAACCTTCATCTGGTAATTGTGAAGAATGGCTACCATGATGCTAAGCTGTCAGTAACCTGTCAACTGAATGTCAATTGTTGGCCAAAGTACATGTGCTACTAATTTAGAGGGAACATCTGACACAACCTGGTAGAGTTCTTGAATCTGATTGTTTTAAATAAAGGGCCACCTTCAACCAGTGTTCATTCCACAGCTCTGTTGTTATCATTTGGGCAATCACCATGTGGGCTCACATGTATTACATAATAATGAATATAATTATGAGAGACCATCAGACCAGAGGATTGAGATCATCATTAACTGCCCATTATCATGATAGTTTTGCAAGCATTTGCACCAAGGTTGGCATACAGTCATAGTAACTGTTAGTAGTGGATCCATTCCCAATGAATTTTCCCTTCCAACACTGTTGTCAAAGTGAATGTTTAAAATTATTTTAATCAACAACTTACTGTACCAACACTTTACTGATGGAAAGCTGGTGGACTGTGAGCCAACCCTTGACTAACAATCGGCTGACACATACATGTAAAACCAGGAAAATTGTTACCTGTTGCCCCAACAAACAACCAACAGTCAATTAACCAACAGAAAGTCATCTGACATCAGACAGTCATTTGTTTTAATTCTAATCGTACTTAAGTAAAGGTTGTCTGTCTGTCTGTCTGTCTGTCAATCATTTGACAGATGTCCAACACAGAGCCCTCCAACCAACAAATGGCTCCTTTGGGAGCATTTCTATTTTCACTTTTAAATTACTAATTGTTTTGAGCATGCACTCTGATAAACTGACAGCATGTCTTTCAGAAAAGAAATTGCCAGCAAAGAGTTGAAAATACACAACGTTGACACTACCAAGGTACAATGGGTGTCAAAAGTACTTGAGAAACTATTAGAAAATGACAATAAATGCATCTAATGAAAATTCTCTGATAGTCCTGGCCCCACAATTCAATGTTGGGCAGGTGTTGTGGTCAACCCAGTCTTTCAGACATGTTTTGGTGGTACATCCTTCATTGTCAGTGCAATGGCTACATGAACAAGTGTTCACTACATAACAGTAGGCTAAAATGTTCTTATTACATAATATTATGACGTATAAAATTTCAAAGTTTTAAAAGTAAAACAGAGTGCGCACGTACCTGACCATAAACTAAGTTTGTCAATTCAGTTTTCTTTTCTTCGCATGTTTATTCGGTGGTACAGCATATAATACTGATGTTAATGCTTTCCTCTCCAGTAACTTGTTTGAACTATGTAAGTATTTTCTTGGGATATTAGCTCATTTTTACCAACTTCTTTACTTAACTTTTCACTCTATGTTCATTTTTATGAGTAGGATCAATGCTGCCCTTTTAATAACAGTCATTTTCTTTAGTTCACAATTTTAATAGTTTTATACATTATCTGATTTGCTTACACCTAAATATTTCTCATACAATTGTAGATGGGGTGGGGTAGGGAACTAACTGTCCATATTGATGAATGCTTATTGATGTTTAGAGCTTTTCTTTCTTTCTTTCTTTATTTTTAATACATTTTTAGATTAGCCTATAATAAATTTTAATGATATGTATGTTCTTAATATTTATATTGTGATTACATTAGGTGAACTGTCGTGTATATATATGGAGCTTCTTTACTCTTGCACGGATTACCCTTATGGCTTCCCTATGTTAATTAATATAATTTATTTGTTGATTTTATTTTATTTTTTATTTTTTAAGTACACCATTGAATTGTAATTGTAAAATAAATAAATAAATAAATACCAATGTTATAATAATTCAAAACATGTACATCACTTTTTCAACCAGTTTTCTCCCTGTAAATGTACTGAATAGATCTGATTGAATACCTTGCATCATTGTCTCCTGGAACTGTAGGAAGGTGAAGTGCTTGTTCAATAATTACATGTGCCATGAATGTGTTGTCCTCAGCTTCAGTGACTGGCAGCTGTTTGTTTGTTTCATGCTGTGTTGATTTAACAGGCAAAGTGTGATCCTGAGTGGAAATCATTGATCTGATGTCTTGCACATTATCCTCAACTGAAGAACTACCACTGACAGATTCATGTGAACTTAATTGCCCTTCCAAGTCACACTGACAGATAAATAACACAAGATAAAAAATAAATAACTGCATTTAAATAATCAAATAATTAATACAGCTCCAATAGAAGACATTCCAAACTGATAATTTAGGTAAAAGTATCCCTGTACATGTATAATGGTTGGTGTAATGTTTGGTGTGGATTAATAATACTGGTAGCTGAGAAATGCCCATCTCATTACGTGTTCTGTAATTACATAAATCATTTGCATAGCTGAAAGAATAGAGCTATGGATCTGAAATTCAGTAGACAGTTTCTTTGCGTAACTTCCACAGATTAAATATTACAGCTCTGGATCAGAAATTTGTGGACAATATTCATGTATGATTATCTGTAAACAACAATTTTGTTTTGGGATTGGATTACCTATCGCCGAGTAATTGAAAATTTTGTAAAACACCTCCACACAATAAATTGTAAAATCATGAATAAATTTGTTTCATATTTGTGCATGTTGCAATAACACAGTTGGTAGAAAGTAGTATCATGGACAACTATCTTCAGGTTGCTAGTGCAAATTAAATCTAAATGATTTTTCATTTTTTCCCAATGCAGAATAAAGCCAGCAGCAAATGAACAGTAGTTGAATAATCGATTCTCAAAACAATGGTTTTCATGTAAATTTCTCAGCAGGATGGAGCAATGCATAAATTAATCATTTTGAAATTTGTTAGTGCAGAATTCACTATTGGAATAGTTTAAGGTATCAGTATACCCCAAAATTTAACATTTTTCAAAAAATTGTTTTTTGCTTTTTCAGATAGATCTTATTGCGATCTTTCATTTAAAAAAATTCTATGGTCCTTAGCAGCTTTTTTATTTCTTAAGTTTGCGGCAAAAGAAACCAGGAAAGTGCTCAAAACATTGCTGCAGACTCCGTGGCACCAAATGAAAGTGCAAATTCATTTAATCAGTCTTTCACTGTTGCAGGTTACAATTCAATACTTCTCGTTGAAACACTTCTCAGTTGTTGCACAACTTTTGCAAAAAGGAACGTGATATTGTGAACACATCACAACATTTCCAAAGGGATTTAAAGTAGCTATTCACACAAAACACAGTTCCCTGATCCCCAATTACTGTCAGTTGAAATTTTACCCATTCAAAGTAGTTTTTGTTTCAATATGCCACAGGTGCTCTAGTGTATATGGAGATATAAAGTTCTCATTTAATGAATAGAAAGAAGCCTTACCTGATGGTCAAAGTCATCATCAGAACTCAAGTTAAGGGAGACTTGAATATGGATACAAGCACCACACAGATCACTTGCCCCAGACCTGAACAGTGGGTACAACCCACTACAAAACAACATCAGGAATGAGCTTTTCTATGATAATTTATTACATATACCAAATTAAGTAAATGTTCCTTCAGACGGTCAGAAATAATACATACATACA